GGCTAATTATTACACTGCTACTTAATTCATTTCAAATCCATCAAAAGATTACATGGTAACTTTATTTTCTAAAACTATGTGCCCTGCCTGGCTGGTGTTGCTCAGCTGTTGAGCATCAACCTATGAACCAAGATTTCATGGTTCATAGGATTCCCAGTCAGGACATTTGCCCAGGTTGCAGGCTCCATCCCCAGTTGGAGGCATGCAGGAGACAGCCGATCAATGACTCCCTCTCAATCACTGATGTTTCTATCTCTCTATCTCCCTTCCTCTCTGAAATCAATCAATCAATCAATCAATCAATACACACACACACACACACACACACACACACACACATATATAAAAACAAATAAATAAAACAAAAAACTATGTGCCCTGATTAGCTCTATTTACAGTAACTGTTGCAAATTTTGTGATGTGAGATAGTAATAATAATGGTAGCTAATGATCACTGAATATACTACTTGATATTAACTCTGCCCTCACAACCACCAAGAGTCCGGCACTGGTATCCCTTTCTTACAGACGAGTTACTTAATGTCATGCAGGCAGTAAGTGGCAGAATCCAGCTCAGTCTGGGCCCATAACCACTGCTCAATCCTGCCTCTCATAGCTACTTGCTGCAAGGTGATTATATGCAGAGACACAAATCCAGAGTGAATACAAAAACATGCCTTCTGCTGGTTCCTATCGATTTCTCAGACTGAGCACCAACTTCCACTGGTTCACTTACTTTATATGATGCTTCAGAAAGACCCCCCAGTCATTCCTAAAAAGTTTCATCAATATATTTATTTGCCTTACATATAATTTCATCTAGAATGTATGATCACCAGTCAATATCACTGAGGTTCTACATATTTTAAACTTTACTTATATGGGCTTTTTAACACAAAAATTAAATGTCCCACTTATTCTTAACCACCGTGGAATTTAGGAAACTGAGCTGTGACAAACTGCTCCTACAGAATGGCAGACAGCTCAGAGGGGCACAAAACAGTCTCTCTTCAAAGCTGTGCATAAAATCAGCTGCTAAACAGGAAACTTTGTTATTACCACTCTGCCAAATTCCAGACAGCTGTAAAATCGGTAAGCATCTCTCTGTTTCAGTATAGCTCAAAACTAACCCAGCACAAAGAGGGGTTGGCACTGTCAGAGCATCAAGTCAATACACCACATTCCAGCTTCAACCCAGGAACTTTTACTCACTTTAAAACAGCTGGGATATCCAAACAGGGCTCGTAACAAGATGAGGAAGATCCCCCATTATCTGCCATTTCTGCAGAGGGAGATTTTTAAATAGAGTTAAGTTGTTCTTTATACTAAAACCGTCAATCTCAAAAATTTCTGTTGAGCTTCCCCAAAAGAACTTCCAGATTTATAAACTCATATTTTGCCCTTATACTGAGAGAAAGCAAAATGTTAATAGTCTTACAATGCATTTCAAGTTTGCATTTTGAATAGCTATATTATAATACAATATTGAAAATTTATTAAAATAAAAATCCACATTTTTGGACAAAAAAAAGGGTAACTTAAAAGACTAAAGGAAAATAGTCAAAGTGAGCCTAATTAAACTGCCCTTATTAACAGGTTCAATACAAGAAGAGTATGTCCACTAGTGACACAGCAATTCGGTCTCTGACATAAAGGCATTAGAAAGAACCACGCTGGTAAAAGTCCCTAAAAATTTATGTTAACACATAAAATATGTCTCCTAGCTAAGAGCATCTTGCCAAGTTTTGCTCAGACGTGAAGAGCCACCCAACCCTTACGTCTCTAGCCATCCTAGCCTGGCGCTGAGGGCAGCAGATCTGGACATCACCTGGTTATTATGCCACCACCTGCAAGGTAGAATCCAGAACACACACCCTAGATTATTTCAAAGTCAACATGCTAGTGATTTGCTTATCGGAAAGGTGCTTGGTAAAGTCTTCACTGAATTCAGCAGTATCTGCCCTTGACCACTATACAGTAGCTTAAACAATGAATAAATGATTCCCTGGCACCACCTCATTCAAGGCTCTCTCTCCTGGGTTCCCCAGTCACCTACCTCCCCAAGCTCCTCAGGGTCTTGCATGTCTGACAAGTACAGCACTCATACTTGGACCCAGACCTCTGTTGAGAGGTTTCTGAAAGTCACACCACAATTCCCAGAGGAGCTTCTCAAAGAAGCCGTTTCTGAACCTCACCCAGACCCATACAATCAGAATCTCTGCGATGCACTTGGTAAGTATGCCAAGTGGTACTTATGATGACAGATAGGGAAGAACAGTCCCTAAGGTCCACAATGTCATGACCCCTACATCACTCTGCCTCTCCTTCCAAATAGGAGGTAGTAAAATTCAGCTTTTCTTTCCTAAGTACTAAATATATACTCTGTTGTTATTTACTCACAGGTGTTATTTTAACCCAGCCAATATTACCATCTCCTATTCCCATGAAAGAAAAGATGGGCCCTAACCGGACTGGCTCAGTGGACAGAGCATTGGCCTGCAGACTGAAAGATCCCAGGTTCGATTCCGGTATAGGGCATGTGCCTTAGCTTCAGGCACATCCCCAGTAGGGGGTGTGCAGGAGGCAGCTGATCAATGTTTCTAACTCTCTATCCTTTTCGCTTCCTCTCTGTAAAAAATCAATAAAATATATTTTGGGAAAAAGAAAAGGAAGAAAGAAAAGATGGTTTCAGTGTTTCCACTTTTACTCTTCAAATGACCTTTCAAATCATTCATCAAACAGTAGTAAGTTAATAATTTCACTAACACCCTAATATATGTGCCTTTTGCCCTACTGTTGAAATTGCAAAAATCCAAATTAAAAGTTATCTTAAAACCACCATGAGGAATTTTAAAAAGAATTAAGACTCTGGTTACACAGAAACACCCTACAACTGCACCCTTACTTACTGTCAGCAAACAAGTCCCTGCATTTAAATCATCTGTTATAAAACAAAACAAAAAACGACAAGAAGAGCTTCTATGCTATTAACATACATGTTCGGCTTTATAAATACAACAGATAAACATGATACCAAAAAAAAGGACAATCCTTTTAAGCTAAGCTATTTAAAAGGAGCTCCAACACTTGCCAAAGTATGCAAAAATATTGTGTTCTCACTACCATAGATGCAAATCTTGAAAAAACACCCTATCTCTAGGAATTACTAAGTGATTTATCTAGGGAGAGGGCCCATTAACTTTTCTGTAACGTATGGCAACTTCTCCCAGAAGAAAAACGCATAACCTATTGTGTACAATTTCAGGGAGCTCGTCTTCACATCACTAGGTCAATCCTACATCTTCTGTTTATTTGCTGGCGCATTAAAATTTAGGGCATGAACAGTGAGTGTGGAAGCCAGCTTTTAACCTCACTTTTAAATTTTCCTGTCAACTGGCAAGCCAAAAGAAAGCAGACACCGAGCTGACTGCCGCGCATGCGGTACCTTCTCCGCGATGCTGTACAGAACCTCGTCCATTTTCATGCACGTAGGGTCCCAATCGTGCCCGAACCGGATGACGACCACCCGGTCTTCTTCCGAAAGGATGGCCTGGTCCACCTGCCAGCCGTTGTGCAAGTGCGGGAGCATGTACGACATGTTGGCGACTCTAGCGGCCTCTGCGGGAGAGGGACTCGGTGGACGAGCTGCTTCCGGCTCAGTCACAGCACGCGGCGCTGGCGGGGGAGCTGCC